CTCTAGCACGAGCAGCATTGGAAGGGCCAGTACTATCAGTCCTTCCCGAAGTGGCCACTATAACGGCGACAAGATACAGAAAGCTTGCGCTCAGTGCAGACGCTATGGAAGCAATGTTGTCAACACCAGAATTTACTCACTTAAGATTTCCATGGAAAAGTCATTGGTGTCCTACAAAACAGTTGGAAACCATAATAACCAGATTTCGATGTCGTGTCCCCCCGTTAAATTTCTATTCACATAGGGCTGGTCTGACGATATCACCACTATGCATGTTTTGTTCAGAATTGGAAACTATAGAGCACTATTTTTTATCATGTCGCCGATACAAATTGCTCAGGAAAACATTATTAGCCCTCCCATTCGCTTGCCTGGGGTTGAATTTCACTATAGAAAACATACTTTCTTTCGGTGCTTACGATCTGGGCTTCAGCCACGAGAACGTTTTCTACGCAGTTTGCAAGTACCTGAATGAAAGTAAAAGAATTAAGCTTTTAATTGCGTGATTATTAATCATGCAAAAAATAATAATAATTCCAACGAACACAAGAGCATTGTTTAACCATGCTGATTCTTATTCAAGGCAATGAATAATTGTCTTATCTGCACGAGTGACAAGCAACTATTGCACTCCTTTCATTCTGACTAGGGTGTCTTCTTTTTTCTTTCTTTTTTCTGGTGGGTGGTTTCGATATATAAAAAAGAACTTGCTTAATTAAGTCATCGATTCTTGGCCGATCCCCCTGAGTGGGTACGAGCCATGTCTGTGGATTCATCATCATCATCATCGTATTCCTCGTTTATGGATCAATCGAGAATCTATGCAGTCGTTACGACACGTGGACAGCTTCACGAATAATACGGAAAATGCAGTAAATGTCAGGAGAGATTACGGCGCTCATTCTTTTATATCTTCAATTGTTGGTTGGGTATCATTCGAACGCTACTGGACGGCAATTATTTTTGTCTTTCAGTGCATGAAAACATCTGAGAATACTAGCTCATTCTTATGTGCCTGCTTCCTCAACGCGCACACATTGAAACATAATCCGGAGCCCAAACCTTGCAACCGCGAGCTCAGCAGCACCACGCCGTAACCCGCGAGCACAAGACGGCGATGTGGCAACAAGACAAACGAACTGCCTGCCGCAACTCAGCTTTCGTGGACTCGGCGAATCGTGATCTCACGTGACCGAGAATCTCTCCTAGCGCGACGCGAGAGTACGGTTACCAGACAGCGCCACTGCGGTCATCTTCGCGGCTATCTCCAATGTCTGCTACCAGCGTCCCAGGAACACCCAAGCGCGGCTCGTCTCGACACCAGAAGGGAAAGTAAGGGAGCAAGCAATGAAATGACAAAACGTGCGAATCCATCCTACTTTCCCTGGCTGCAAGTGCGGCTCGGTCAACGATGTGGCGCGTTCTGTTGGCGTTGTTATCTAGGCGTACATACACAGCCCTCTTCGCGACGACACCATAGGCATCTCTACCGCCGACCACGGACGCTATCCATCACGCAACCTCGACCACCGACACTTCTCTATGACACACCCCATGGTCCGGTCAGCGATATTTTTCGGGAGGGCCGAATTTCCTGCTCACAGAGATTAGTCCCGTACGCCTGAAGCACGATGTGTTCGGGGAAGAGGCTTCCCTCTGACGTAACGCTTTCTTTGTTTTATTCTCCGTTGTGTTGTCAGTTTACTGACGCGGCACTGCGGCGCGTCACCCACGTAATATTAGACCTATCAAAATCAAGCGATCGTTAAGGTCCTTTCAAACGACCAAACAGCTATGTCGGAAAGTTCGCGGGGAAAACGTCAAGCACCAAATTTGAAGACCATATAGCTACGGCCAGCGTTCCTGTCGTAGAACCACCGGCATCTTTCAAAAATTGAAAGACGACACCCCAATAGAATGCGTGTATAAAGTGTGTGTGTGTGTGTGGGGGGGGGGATATTTCATGCCATATTACATAGCAATCGTTAAAAAAATGGTAGGCGCATGAAGACGGATACAAGAAGGCGACACAGAGTGCTCTGTGTGTCGTCCTGTTTCAGTTTTCGTGCGCTTACCAATTTCATAATCTAAGATAGAGCTGATTAAGTAACAAAAGTGACAACCTTAACATTGTCGGGTCTCCCAGGTGGTCGATATTTCTGGAGCCTTCCACTACGTCTTCTCTCATAATCATATGGTGGTTTGGGGGCGTTAAGCCCCATAAATGAATGAATCAATCGAATAACGCCAGGTTGAATCAGGTCAAAACGCAGTAGCCGGAAAGAGTGGCAACTATGAAAGAGAAGAATGAGATAGTAACGTGACGAGATAGTACTATGTCTAGATGGTTATGGTATGCAATGGCAACTTTTAAGCATGAAGTTTCAGAAGTATAGATAAGTACCGCATTGCACAAATTTTTATTTCTTTTGTTTCCATAAAAATTGTAGAGGCGGAAAAAAAGAGTTTTGACGCAATTGCAGCAAAAGTGCGCATCTTAAAACTTGAAACACGAAGCCTCGAAGCGAGCGTCCAGGTAGTTTAGACACTGGAAGCACGTAACAATGGTCCATACTTTAGCTTAAACAAAGCTACTAAGAGACTGTGCATTTACTACGCTCGTTATTGTTGTGCTTTCTGTGTTCTTGGGAAGAGTGCACGACTACTTCAAGACATGTTAACGGCACCAACTGCCTATTTGTCATAGTTGGCCACATAAAGAAAATAAACCAGCACGTGCGTTGAGGGACTGTTACTTTTTCCTGCGTTTGAGAATTAAATCACTTAAGGCAGTTTTTCCTAACGCGTGCTTCAGTGTCCCCTACTTGGAAAAAAAACACTTTCGTTGAATTTATGCGCCTTAAGCTATAATGTATTGACAAAAAGTTATCAATCGAACAAATTGACACTAGCCGTAATAGCTTCGTAATAAAGAAAAAATACGGCTTACCAGTGCCAGGCTAACCACGACGTCAATGGGAGCGGGACCAAGCCCCAAGAATAAACGACGACCACCTAATGGAAACGTGGGAGGCCAAGTTCGTCCTCGAGGACCTGGAAGACCAGCGACAACTCGTCGCCAGGGCCAAGAGTTCAGTCGAAGCCAGAAGGTTCCTGGACTAGGGAACCCTCCCACCTTAGGGTGACACCGGGCCTCGCTCAGAACACTATTTTCTAAATAAACGTTCATTTCTCTCTCTCTTACCGTCAATGGTGTCACGTTGAAAAGCTTTAGACGCTGGTTTGAAAACACTCATCTACATAATTTTACGAGCACGTTAAGGAACATCACGTTGTCTAAAACTGATCTGGTGTCTAACCCTACGGCATAATTCATGATAATACCATGCTATCGACATGCCGGATCCTGGAATTATTTTTAATTAGTGCTTAGTTTCAACGCACCACTTTTTTTATCAATGGTCGCTGATAGCTTAGCATCGTGACAACCTACTATCCTCGGAAAGTCTCGTGCATGATAACTAGAGAAATGTGCGATAGATCAATCATTATTACAATTTAGTGCATTATCCTTTTCCACAAGTCGCTGCCACAAGAATGGATTGTCCGAAAAGACAAGTTTTACGACAGATGGTATGGCGACAACGATGATCACACACAATGAAGAAAAGAACCACAAAACAAAAAGCACCCGCAAGACGATAGACGACGCAACACATGTCAGTATCGGACCACACCCTCATTACATTTGGCATGCCTGTTGAAGTACATTGTTTCTTTTCCGACGTGGCCGCCACATGTCCACGCTCCCTATCCTTACCAGCCGTCTGCGCCGTCGTCGCATCTTATTGCGCCACTAAAACGAAGCATGCAGCGCTGCAAATCCCAGAAAGGACGTCCTTCATTCAAAACAGCGAGCATGTCCACGAGTCCATCGCGTTCGTATCAAGGTCTCTATGCGCCGAATGGGTCCGCTTCCGTTGAACTTTATTATATTCTGTTCTCTGGTACACGACGAAACAACGATGATTGTTATAATCACAGCGAATGCAATGTGTGGCACGTGTTTGCATCGGCCGCCCTGTGCTTTTGACAGTATTATAGGCACATTGCCGACGCTACCGCCATCACTGTCTGCATGGTCGTGACCGCCATCGTCATCACCGAAACGCCGGAAATGGACGCGACCTTGTCCACTGCCGTTGCACACAAATGTCCTACGGCCAGTGAGAATGTCGTGTCCATTTTCGGCCGCTTTGTAGGTCTCACGTGTAAATATCGCAAGAACGTCGACGCGGACCACCGAGCATTGAGGGACAAAGAAGAAGAGCGCGGTGGCACGGGTGGCACGAGGCGCGCTCGCAGAGTTCGGGCCAAGGCGTGCAATTCCGAGATCGGACGAGCGAGACGTTCTGCCGGGCGAGACGCGGGCGTGTGCACAGAGTACCACGGAGCCGGGCGAGGTCCAGGGTGGCCGAGGATCCAGGTGCCAGGGGAGTTGCTGGCTGAATCGAGAATCGCCGAGCGGTGCCGAGCCGTACCGAGCGGCGCACCAGACTCGGACGTGGGCCGCGAGCTGACGAGCTGTGCACCCGAGGGTACCTGGTGGTGCCCTGGCTGAGGCGAGGAACGCCGGTGACTGAACTGCCGCACCACAGCTGTGGCGAGCAGCATTTCAGCATGGCACAGACGGTGCTGTGCTGGCCAGAACCCGCACGTCGAACCGCTACGCCCGGGTGGTGATCAAGAGCTCGGAAACAAGGTCCGATGTCGCGCTGGTCCAGGCATCTCCTAGACGACGCCACCGCTGCTCGAGAGTCGTGAGTCTACGGGACTCTTCTTCCTCATGTGCCGTGGTGGTCGTCCCGACGGCGTCCACATCACTGACTTTTCATAGCCTTCCTTTTGTATATAAAAGTTTGAACTCGTCTCCCTGTCTGTTTCCTGCGCCGCTGCACAGTAGTGGAAGTGCTCGAACCATACTAAACATCACAGTAGGGTATAATAAGCGTCTAGCAAACCTATCTTCACATAAGTGGTGCCCAACGTGGGACACGAACCCGCGACCCTGAGATCATGTTGAGTCTCAAGCTCTACCTACTGAGCCAGCCGGGCACGCATACGAGAAGCCGGCTGGTAGAGCAGCGCCTCTACCTGTCATGCAGGCCTGTGTGAACTTTCCGGTGGTGGGCGGGCGCCGGGAGAACGCAAGCTACCGGTGGTGGCTGTCATGGGCGGCCAATCAGGATCAAGGAAGCACCGTGACGTGTACTATAGCATGACGCGAGGGAGAGGCGTTGTGCGGACATGTTCGGACACATCTTTCCATGCACGTAAAACCGACATACCAGACAAAAAGGCCTGACGGCGAAATCATGGAGGTCATGCTCAAAATCACCACTGGTGGTTCTTGTGACATTGTCCTTGACGCCTTTCGTTCAAACAGATGTCCCGAGTTTACTGCCGTGATGCGTCCGAAGTTCCTTGAATTGGTGTCCATGTGATATATTTCCCTGTTTTTTTTTCTTGCTCGTTTTCTTGTTATTGACGAGGGCTGATGCGTAGATATTTGCGTGCTTGACCGCAATATTCATCGATACACGCGGCAGCCACGGCCAGGTTCGCACCCACAATCCTAGAGTAAGCTGCCGAGCAGCCTAACCACTACCACCGCGACGGCCGTAAATGAGACCATTAAAACCGAGAATTCACATCGCAATCGATATGAAGCAACCGATTCCAAAGAAACAAAGGGCAGATATATTTCAAAGAAATGTGACAGCACACACCGATTAAAAGGTGCAGATAATTCGATACGTCTGGTACGTTTCCTCGGCTCTGCTAACCTTTCAGTTAAACTGAACTAGATCGCCCACGAGAAGGATGAACGGTGTTGAACGAGTAACGTGGGGTGCCGAAAAGGAGAGAGAGAGAGAGATAAATAGAGAGGAAAGGCAGGGAGGTTAACCAAGCTTGGCTTGGTTGGCTACCCAACACTTGGGGTGGGGGAAAGGGAGAATGATAGAAAGGAAAGAGATAAAAAAAAAGAGGAGTAAGAAATAGAAGGATGAATAGTCAGCTCGAGACCACACAGCATGGTTTCACACTGTTCTTTCACAAGCTGTCGTGAAGTCTGGTGGTCCTTAAGAAGTGCAAGAGGGCTTTCGTGGCTTTGCGTGTATGGGAGACCGTCAGCCAAGGTCCCAGGATCTTCTCTTCTGTAAGCGGCCGTGAATCCAGCTGGCGGAGCTTGGCTTCTATAATACGTCGTTCAGACTGGTATGCTAGGCAATGACATAGAATTTGTTCGAGCGTTTCCTCGCAGGCGCAAATGTTGCATGCCGAAGTGCTCGCCATTCCAAGCAGACGAGAGTACGCAATGCTATCATCCGAAAATGAATGCCGAAAAGGAAAAATCGTATACCGAATCAGAGGTGAAAATTGGAGAGCCCATTCGCCGAAACTGCCGGCTCACTTTCCGAGTTTTCTGTTCCGTATACGCAGTTCTGGCACGTATTCATGCACTGTTCCCAAATATACTCGCATAAATACACAAAAACAAAGCTATAGATATATGAAAATAAATCGGCGCCAGCGTAAACCGCTAACTCGCGAGATTCCGCGAGAACGAGCACCAGAACACGCCGCAGTGCGTTGCGTCGAGTCAGCGACCTTTCATTACTGAACCGCGAAAATTCCAAAAAGAAAGAAAGCAAGAAAAAAACAAAAAAGCAACGTCCTCCGGCCGACCATTTCTGGGCAAACACGCAGCTGGCGGGCCGCACTCACAGCGCCTAACACCCCCGATGAAGAACGTGCCACGCAAAATATCGGCTCAACATGTTCGTGTCGTGGCATCCGCCTCGGGATGAACTCCAAACAAATTTCAACACGTAACAGCACACCTGCGCACACAACATTCTTTGATATATAAAAGTTAAGTGAACGCGTGTTTCACTTTTCAGTACCAACGTAATTTCGGGTCTTGAAAAGCATGGCCCCCTTTTTTTTTTTGTTCACTACTTCGTATAAATTTTCGTCGGAAATTGGTCAGAATTGCATCTATATTATGCATGCGATTGCGTTTTTTTTTTAGTTTCTCATCGTTGAAAATCAAACTGGAGTTCACAATATTGCTGATTCGAACACGTAGGATATTCGTCAATGATGATTCAGTGAGCCTACGTTTCGCCTTCCCAGACGCCGAGTGGTATTTTTGATGGACTGGTGGCGGTGTGACCATATTGAATCTGCTAGGCAAAGTTCGGGTGCATACGTTCTTGCGATTCTTACATAGACTAGCACAAACAAAAACAAAAAGAATGTAAGTCAGGAATTTAAAAGGAAATTATAGATCAAAACAATTTTTCGCGTATTAGTAAGATACAATTTCACAATCCCGAAAACATCATTCTTACCAGAAAGTGACACTTCGTAAGCGGGAAAATGCGTGATAAGAAAATGTGCGTGGAGACGCTTCCGTGACATTCCCGCACCAAACAGTGTGACGAGTCGACGTAGTAAATTTTGAAAACGTCTACTTTTGAAGCTCCTCCTGCTAAAAGTGAAAGATATTGTAAAAATGAAAAATATTGTGACCTGCGGGTGCCACAGACCCAGCACACGAATATGCAAAAGTTTCATCGAGTCAAAGTCGCAATAATACAAAGAATACATTTTGAAATTTGTTATGTCACGCACTGAGATTTCGGCAGAAGATTTAAAAATAAAACTTCAACCTTCATTTCCTCCGCTAGTACTAAACCTATGGCAGAGAAATTTATGACATTAGAGTTCTCAGAGTGCAGTTTATATATCTAAATTATTGTTTCTATTTGGGTTTATTTAAAGGATTTCAGGTGCACTGCACCACTGAGCTACACGCAAACGGAGGATTGGGAAGCCATGAATCTAGAAACAAATGCTGGTGATTGCATCTGGCTGTCATGTTTACGAACCCTCTTGCGCTGGCGCAAACACACACAAAAAATTAATTTCAACGCGTAAGGAGCCCACTACGAACTATTCACGTCCAACCAACTGGTCGCAACCAACCAACTATTCGGTATCGTCGCGTAATAACGGACACTGCTTACACATTAAAATGACTGAAGGGGCTCATATGAACAGCCATTCATGTTAGCTTCCGGATCTATGTCTCAATTTTTTTTCGAAAATCAAGCATAAACAGAGCAATTCGAGGCTATTGCAACTAAATTTTTGCTACGTTTTAATCACCGTGTTATGTTTAAAGATTGTTTTCATATAGACTCATAGAACGCACAAGATATCAGAGAAACAACTGACGGCAGTTGTTTCTCTTAATTTGACTGTTTGCCTCAAAACTATGAAGCAGCCCTGCAGGGTTCGTCAGTAATGGCACCTAACGTTTATTACGAGCATGAGTGCATTGCATTGAGCGCGGTGAATCAAATTATAATTACCAGGGCCACCTATTGCAGTAACATGGCTCTAACATTCCACTTAAATACCTATGCAGTACGTCCAAACCACGCTCAAGAGAGTGCGTGTATAATGTTCCATAATTACAGCCATCATTCACCGCATGTGAAATTTCCCCGAGTGTGTGTGGAGCGACGGGCGCGGAAAATAATTGTATTTTGTATTTTGTATTTTTGTAAACTCGTATTTTGTCAACGCATGCGAAGCATGGGAGCCTAGTTACGTACACCTACGCGGCAAATAGAAAAAGAAACAAAGCAGGTGGCTGGAGGGTAAGAGTAATGAATGTTCATTTGTGCAAAAGTTGCGCATGCAGATTTCGTCAGTCGCATGTGTTTTGCTGAAGTTAAGATTCGGTAGTTGAGCCATATGTATTCTGCGTTTCTTGCATTAGTCCTCGCGTCATTTTTGCGCTAATTGTTTATGTCTCAAGTTCTCCATTCACGCTAACTTGTCGAACTATTCTAGTATTTTCGCACTTTGAATCTCAAACAACGCCTCCGAAGGGGAACATGTGCATAGCCTTTCATAAATGGTCAGAGCGGGCAAAAATGATGCCCTACAAGTTTCGAGTACCAGCCAGATTCCTAGCCTACTTCTCGTCGACTGCGCTACTTACCGTACTCTCGATTACACTGTACACTAAAAAAACCAGCACACAGCATCACTGAGTCGGAAACTATTCGATGAAGTTGTTCTGTCACATATTACTTCTACTCGCTTCCCATGTCGACATAAACAAGCCGCTTTTGGCAACGTATACGTATGAAACGCCATAAAAGTGTTAGAAACTACGCCGAGTAGAAGCGCACTAATCAACAGTGCACGCACTTTCACTACACTAGCGGCCCGAACAAAAGAGCCCCGGTGGTGCGCCAGTGCTTGCACGTGTTGCCCTCAAAAACGCTCTGGAGCCGCTCGCACCGACTCGCCGGTACCAGAGATCTTCAAAGCGAGCACGAGAGAGGCCACTTATACCCCGGTGTTACAATAAAAGCGTGCAACACCATATATGATGGCAAACGAGGCAGTTTTGTTCGTAAGCTCGGCCAGTCTTTGACAGGCTACCGTCATAACCATTGCGTCTAACATTATCACTGCCTAGCCGTTTACAATTACACTGGGTTCTGAATACTGTCCTCTTTGCGTGTAAGTGCGAGCGGACTAAAGTCTAGATAACCAACCATCACCGCTTATCTAACGCGAAAGAATTACTCTCCCGACAGACACACAACCAGCTAATACATTCAGCTTATGGCGCGATGCAGTGACATTTAATACATTACAAATAAGTCGTAGTGTCTGATACACCCAGGACCAGACTGTTTCGGAAACCCGGCATAACAGCGCCTTCACAAACTTACTAGTCATGTGTGATCATAATATGCGACACGGCTAAATGTAGGGTATTATGCTATTCCAATTGAAGACCATAAAATCTTTAATAACCTTGCAGCTGCATCTGTCAACACATGAAGTAGCGGCTGCGATCCGCTGTACGTAATATATCTTGACCTAAATTTCAAAACAGGATGCAGTGCCAACACAATGGCCTATAACATTAGCCCAATAAAGAAAGGGTCAAATCACATGGTCGCTGCCACGCATCTTTCATATAATCTACCGAGTTTTAAAAAGAATTGCTTTTTACA